CTTTATGGATATAAACTTGGTACATGCCTCTATCACTGGTAAAAAAATCAGCACGTTTGCTCGAGCCGTAATGGAGATATTCGAATTTCTTATCGCCGTGTTATTTATGGGCCACCCTGTATATGCAGGGTGGCCCAAAAAGTAACGGGACAAAGTAAAGAAATAACGAATTCTTTCCAACTTTTTCTTAATGGATTAATAGCTAGATCTCATATTTAAACCAAATATACTATATAATAGTTCTTGGAGAAGCCGCCTATAATCAGCCTTTGTCCTTAGGATTTTGTTGAAAAACACAAAAATTCTTTTTTGTACTCTAATACGATTATTACTAAAGTTTATTGTTTGCCTGTTATATTTTGTTTCCATCTTGTTGACTGTTTGCATCAGCATATACTAGATGATTTAAACTCTTTTGACTTTAAAGTTGTTTTTGAGTTTTTACATAGAAACATATACAAGGATGGAGTATAACGGGAGGAAATAAAATAAATTTGATAAAAAAAAGATAGCAGACTCATGCAACAGACAGATAGGATTGCAAGAGAGACGTTCGAAAATTTTTCAATAAAACCTTAAGGGCAAAGCCTGATGATAGGGTACTTTTCTGAGTATTATCATATAGCATATTTGGTCCAAATATGAGATCTAACTATTAATCCAATAAAAAAAAAGTTGGAAATAATTCGCTATTTTCTTACTTTGTCCTGTTACTTTTGAGCCACCCTGTATATACACGACAAGCGACAGTTGAGCTAAGCTTTCTAACAGTCGACATTATCACGTATTTACGGAAAACAAAAAACAATCGCAATGATATGCAAACAAAATCGACATTTATATTATTTTTGTGAATCAACACAGAAGAAATCAATTTCTGAAAATATTAGACAACTAAAAACACGATTAAAACAACCTAATTATGAAAGTGAAATTGTATGTGATATGGCACGTATTCCAACTGTTTATTTACTTATTATTTGGTGTTTTGTCCGGAAATAGACTTCAATGAAGTCAAGAAAAACTAAAGTCCTACGTGCTTATATGCTATTGGTCACATGTTGAAACTATTGCAATGATTTTTCGACTTGTAGCATGATGTTTTTGAGAAAATTATATGACATGGTTTCGGCCTGACATGTACCCTTAAGACGGATTTCAACACAACTACTGTCTTCTGGTCTTATCGCAAAAGAGCAACTATCTATGCCTTGAAATATAAAGTTTAGAGAATAAAAGCAGCTATTCGCTACTGGAAAGGCACTATAGCAGAGTCACTTGGAAAACAAAATATTTTAAGGAGGACATCTTCAATTTCATTGACCACTTTTAGAAAACAACAATAGTGCAAAGGTATATATTCAGAGAAGATTTTAAGTCACAATTAACTTTTTTAGTTTCCTCGAAGATTCTGTTTGATGTAAAGTCCTAGCTTTTGATCAATATAACATAATTATATTGCACATCCTACGTTATAGTCGTTCAGTAGCGGATCAGAGTCGCTTTATTTGGTGTGTCAATGAATTTGAAAAGCGTTGGCATTGAAGAAAAAATGCAGTTTTAAGTCTTGTATATTTTTTTGTCTTTCATGCTAAGCTATTTCGACCGTTGTCCTGTTGTTTTTTATGTTTATGCTCTTACTGCTCTCAAACCATTGATACAAACAAAACGGAACTACAAATTCGTTATAGAACACTATTTATACCAGTCTAACTAAAATATTATTTTCTTTTTCTTCTTTGCAGCTAGGAATTCTTTTATAATTTCATCATAATTAATTTGAACATTACGTTCAATGTTCAGCGATTCAAATCCTGGCAAATGGTGTTGTTCTACAGATTTTCGAAGATAGATTCTGATTCTTCTTTATGATGAAAAGCTTCCTTCAAGCTCACACGTATTCCTAGATATGATATCTATAGAATTTTAAGCATGGCATTTATCACTGGTAAGGAAAATATTTTGATGTGACAATTGCTACACTGTGCCCTACCACTGTCGTCGTTTAGTCTTGCGAGTAATAAGTAAAATGTCAACTCAAAGGGTGAAACCAGTAAGAAATATTTTCCTTTGGAAGACTGACTTGCTCTTCAGAAAAAAAAAGCTTTCTTAGAAACAACTAAAAAGACAATAAGACATTCTACCCTGTATCTGGTAGAATGAAATGTTCATCGTTGAAAGTTTCTTAATACATTTTGCATGAAAATATATAAAAAACTCGAAAGAACAAATCTATCAAATGTGAAAAAGTTATCTGAATAAAATATTTTGACGCCACTAACAGCATTTGCTTTTTATATTTTCAAAGAATACTCTTTCCCTCTCATCATTAATAAACCGTTTCAGCTCAATTATATTCTTCATAGAGCACGAATCATGATCAAACGTTAACATTACCTAAAATATGTTTAAGTGCAGCGTATGATTGTTCTCTTTCTTGTATTAATAAGTCTTTTTGTACAACTTCTTCTGTTTTTTGTATTAAACGTTTTTGAAGTAATTGAACTTTTTGTATTAATTCAAATGTTGATGGATCACTACCTTCTAATTTTCTCCAACGATGTATATTCATTGGATTTTGTAATTCTTCTTCTAATGTACGACTACGTGTGCGTTCACATATTAATTCACGTTGACTATGAAATAATTCACGTTTGAGATCATCTGTATGGGATAATTTATCTAATAGATTAGAATTTTCATGACTTAATTTTTTTAATTCTAATTTTAGTATGCGTATATCTTCAAGACGAGTTTTGTATTGAAGTTCGCCGCTATTTACGACAGATTGCTGAATTTTAAGTTTTTCATAAAGAAGTGCCAGTTCATCATTGCGACGAACCAATTGTGTACCAAGAACATGACGTTCAGAAATAGCCTATGAAAACAAAAGATTATTAATATTGATGACTGATTTTTTTATTATTATTTTTTATTTATTTACTTTTTTTAATCGTTTTATTTGTTGTTCATGTTCTTCATTGACCTTCGACAGTTTTTTATTTAAATTTTCAAATTCGATTTGTCGAATTTTACGAGCTTCTTCTCTTTTCTTCGATTCATTATTTAAGTGTTTTATAGTAAGCATTAATTGTTTTTTTTCTTTTTTAACGTTGTCATGTTCATCTTGTGTGTGTACTAATTCTCGTTCTTTATCTTGCATTTCGACTTTTAGTTGATCCATTTGATGACTTGTGATTTCTAATTTACGTTTCAAGCCACCAATTTCATCTCGATATTCAGCCGAATGTTTCGACTGCAAACTACGATCAAATATCATCGTTTCATTCAATTGTTGTGCTTGTTTTAATTGAGATTGTAATGCATCAATTTTTTGCTTGTGTCCAGATAATTCCTGTTTTTTCTTTTTAGCTTCATCCATTAATTGAAAAACTTGATTTGTTAATGTATAAGCGTTAGTTATATAACTAATTTGAAAAACAAACAGATCTTAAAAATTGTTCAAAGTTTAAAAATCAAGATTTTAATCTATCGATCATAGGGACAGAGTTATTGTTTTTCAAACTCTAACGGGCTGTCTCAACAATATTTCAATGGATACAGATCTTCATAGCAACAACACAGTAGTGAACATATTTGCTCTGATGATTTAAACCAGATTAATTTGGATTGATTTGAAAACAGATGAATAGGACTTATTAAGAGAAGATATGCACGAGACTGGTTTCGATCTGGATTCTAGTAATCGAGAGCAAAAATTAAATCATAACACCAATTTATGTTTTTATCGATTCCAGACTTTTCATGTCGAAAAAAAAACAAAATGTATTGGATGTCAGTGTACACGAACCGAATCTTCTTGAAATCACTAAACATTTGTTTGTTTCAGGATATTTAATGGCTTTTGATAGAATTCGCTTCTAATTTAGAATAAAATGCAGAATATAATGAAAGGAGTAAAACAGATTCTTTTTTCAACAGTTGACGAATGGAGAACATTTCCTTCCTTGGTCCTGGGTCTTTGATGAATTATTCTATAAATCCTTTTAGATTTTCCAGTTACATGATGAAGTCGAATATTTTATTTTAGTCGATTCCTCATGACAATATTCACAAAAGTATGCATCCTTTTTTTTTCTTGTTGTTTGTATTAAGAGAAATTGTCTTTTCTGGTACAGGTAGAAAATAATGAAGTTTAGTTTTCGATAAAATGCTTATTTATTGTTCAAGTCAAGTGAAAGTCTACGTAAACAGATAAAAATAATGACGAATTCAATTGAATGTACTCTGAAGAATATATGAAACAGGTAATTAGATGAATACAATATATCGACACTCTCTTATCATCGAAAGATTTTAAGAAAAAAAGCGTTCAAGAGTTCAACTAATAATTCAGACTGACCAGTAAATTAAAAATTTCGACTACCGACAAGTCAGAAAAAACTATTAGACTGTACCGATCAATCACTGTTACCAGCTATTATTTTAATTAACGCGCTCTAGGTAAGATTATATCTAAAATCGAAATCGATAGAATCCATGAAATATGTTCAGAACAGCCAGCAATTCAAAACTGCAAACTTCGCAATTTTTAGACTAGAATATTCGTATTTACCTATCTCGTTCTTTTTTGATTTGAAGGATAATCTTTTGTTGCTTCTGTATTTCTTCTTTATAATTTTTAATGTCTTGTTCTAAAGTTGTTTTTGATTGCTCAATCATTTTCGTTTCATCTATTTGTTTTCGATTATCATTTATTAATTTTTGACATGTTTTATTTAAATTTTCACGTTCACAAATTAATATATCAAATTGTCGACTATTTTCATTTTCTTTCTTTTTATATAGATTAATGTCTTGTTCTAATGATGATATTGTTAAACGTAAGCGTTCTCGTTGTTGTTCAATTTCACCAATTTGATTTTTAAATTCTTGTAACTTTTTCTTAAGTTGATCTTTTTTCATTTGTTCATCATCACGTTCTTTGCGTAATTGTACAAGTTCATTATCTTTTTCATGCGATTTAGTTACATAACTTGCACAATCATTAACAAGTTTTTCATTTATCATAACACATTTACTGGATTCTATACGAGCATGATCAATTTCTACTTGAAGAATTGCATTATCTTTTTCTAAACGAACATTATCTTCTTCTAATTTTCTAACATATTTTTTTGTCTTTTCAAATTCTGGTTTTTGTCTTTCAAGTTGTGCTTTTTGAACTTCAAATTCAGTATTTTTCATTTCGAAATCTGATTTTCTTGTTTGAAGTTCAAATTCTATCTGTGTCTCAAAAAAAAATAATGAATAAATTGCATTAGAACATAATCAACAATAAATGAAACAAACTCGTTTTTTTGATTCTTTGATACTTTCATTTTTTTCTCGAACAAGTTTTTCCTCTAAAGTAATTATTTGTTCTTTAGCTTCACGAATTTGCCTTTTTTGATCATTGTCTTTCAATGCATTTGTATCAAGTTCACAACGTAATTGGACTATTTCATCCAATAATTTATCACGTTCTTGAATTAAACCATTATAAATTTTCTTAAAATCATTTATATCATGTTCGTCGTCCATAATGATTGTCAAAACGAGAAGTTTTGTAATAAAACCTTTTATTAAATGCAAAAATGTCATTCTTTTGTTGATTTTAACCCGCAAAGCGTGCTTATCTTTTATTTGGCCTTCACAATTGATAAGATAAATTCTTTTCTTTTTTTTTTGACCATATACGATAGTGTCATTGTATGTAGGGAACTCGAAAATGAAGGCTATATACCATTCCATTGCCTGCCTAAGCTATTAAACATTATTCATTGGCGCCTCATAAATCTAGCTAGATTTTACAAAGTTTTTATCATCTTTGTGAGAAAGTTTTTGTATTATTTACATTTCCTCTTCGGCCCGTTCCATTTGTAGGATCTTCGGATAATTTCAACTTTTTGGACATGTAGCCTAGCCAACCTCGCGCAATTCAAACGAAATCTGACTTAGTTAAGTGAATTCCGTAGATACTGATCAAAATTACAAGAGACAGATATTGTTTCTTTTGGTTTATGAAAAGAGTACTCTATTCTGTTAGTGAAATGAACGAAAGAAAAGATACAGTATGAATTACTAAAGATTGATAGGATTGCTTGTATTGAAAAAAGAAAGCTAACATTGATGTCCCCTGTCCCGCCATCCTTCATGTACTTTCCCATCGATCAAAGTATATTTGTCCCAACCGTGGAGTTGACCATTTGGATATTGAACTTCGTATTTGTTTTCGGATAAGCATGTTTGAACTTCGAAGCGAGCGTGCTCACCTACAACTAAGTCTCTAACGCATTTTCCTTCATCAGCTCAGACAAAAGTCCCCTCTCCAGTACACTCATCGTTCTTCCAATCTGCAGTATATATATTTCCATTCGACCATATATATTTACCATGACCATGTTTCATGTCATTCTGATATTGACCATCATATTTATCACCCGATGTCCATGTAAAAATTCCTGTACTCCACTTTCTACCGTCAATCCACTCTCCATCATATTGATTTCCATTCGACCAGGTGTATTTTCCATGACCTTCTTGTGTGCCGTTGACCCATTGTCCAATATACTCATCTCCGCATTGCCATGTTTGAATTCCAAAGCCACTTCGCTCACCTGCAACAAAATCTCCAACGTATTTTCTTCCATCGAGCCATATAAAAGTCCCCTTTCCAGTACAGTCATCTTCTTTCCAGTTTCCTGTATATTTATTTCCATTCGACCATGTATATGTACCATGACCATGTTTCATGTCATTCTCATATTGACCATCATATTTATCACCCGATGCCCACGTAAAAATACCTGTACCCCACTTTTTATCGTTGATCCAATCTCCATCATATTGGTTTCCATTTGACCAGATGTATTTTCCATGACCTTCTCGTTTGTTGTTGATCCATTGCCCACTATACTCGTCTCCTGATGCCCATATTCGAAGTCCGTATCCATGAAGATCGTTGTTTTTCCATTCACCAATGTATTCACCACCGGAAGTCCATTTATATGCACCATAGCCATTTTTCATTCCCATACACATTTGCCCCTCGTATCGATCTCCATTTTTAAACGTTGTAGCTGAAATTTTACTTGTCACTGTTTTCAGGACAGATGTAGTTAATGGAGAAGAGACTATTGAATCAGTGGTATTCTTTAATACTGTTGATACAAGTGAAGCAGCAGTAGAAGCATAAGAACCAACGAGAGATGTGACTGATATAGCAGGAGTGATGGATTGAGAATCGTCTGAAGTTTTTTCGGCACCATTCGATGAAACTGTTTCACTTACTCTTTTATTGTTTTCAATTTCATGTAGATGAATCACACGAAGACCGTTTAATTCGAATGAATCTCCAACAACTTTCAGCTGTGTACCTGGTAGTAAAATAATTTCTTCTTCATCTGGATAACTTGAATGTTTATCCACACGTTTTCCGCTCGTACAATTGATCATTATTAAGGTATTCTGTGCATGTTGCAACATGAATTCTTTAACGATTTTGATGTTAGCCGAGCAAGACGTTACACGCCACCATGTAAACGTGGCTCCGCTTACGAACAGATCAGAAGTGCCTATTGTAATATCTTTGTTTATTCCACGCCAAACTGATTTTCGTTGTGATGGCAGCTTACTGAGAGCCACATGAAATAACTTCAAATATAAAAACCATGGTTCCAGGACGTCTTGTTGTTTAGTTTCAATTGCCTCGTTCAATTTTCGATAAATACCAACAGGTTCTATAGTATACAAATATATAGATGCTGATTCATCAGGAGTTAGTCGATCGGGTGGATTTGAACACATTTCTTTAGCCATTCTAACATATTTCGTCACAGTTGGTATAATGTCAATTAATGGTTCCACAGCGATTTCTAGGGGAACTTGAGGATAATTTAGGTAGCATTCGATATCTGGTATATTGTGCCTGGGTATCGATTCATCATCATAAAACCGACAAGTCATAGTTATACTATTATCTTTTCGACTTATAGTAAAGATATAATGAAAATTCTAACGAATGATTGATCTGAAACAGTCAAAAATGAAAATTAAATTAAATGTTTATATTTTCGCCGCCTATTGACATAGAATGTTATAGTCACAACTTAATTATGCTCAAAATTCAATTTGAAACCAATAACTCTGATTCTGGCGTAATAACTGTGAGTGAATCCTCATCGTGAAAAATAGTTGGAAATGTCGATGAATTTGATTAAAGACACTACCAGTTTTTCCACAAATAAGAAGACTTATTAAAACGTTTTTTTTTTGGCAGTGTTAAATCGACTTCATTGAGAAAAAGCTATCATAATTTATATACAGAATCTCCGGATAGTATTACACAGTGCAAACAGACAGTCGAATAATATCAGATTTTTAGCTACAATGATCCAATGTAGATGTCAAAGCGATTGTCTACTTTAAAGTAATCAAATTCTATTTTCAATGATGCAAGGCGAAATATAGATTATTTACTTTAATATGTTCTATTAATCACATTTAGCCAAAGTCTAGTGCTTTAATTGATATAGTTAGTCTCCATTAATTCACTTTATTAAGAAACATTAACATTCTGTATTTTGTGCTTGATTTTTTACATGTGTTCATTATTCAATAGAAGATTGGGAATCTAACGCGTAGTCATATTGTATGAGACAATTATCTATCTAATTGGAGTATGATTGCGGCAAACTCAAAGCTCTAGAATTTACTATGCTACAATTGGGAATTCGATAAGATAATTTACAAACAACAATATATTCTTCTTAGTCATATAAAGTCCCTATTATTTATCACTCTAGATATTGAAACAGGTTGTACATTTGGGGAGGTTATTCAAAAATTATTTGAGTATGATGTCCACTTAAAATATTTCATCAAACTGTTCTTCAAGCGTAAATAATTTTCATTTCTATACTTTGACATATTTTTCATGAGTTGAGATGCGAGGTAATCACGACCAACACCTACACCCTATGAAATTACAAAGTAATAAAGAAAAACAAAGCAACTGAAGAATAAGGTATCAATACATTATGATCACAAAAATCATCCACAATTTCATTAACTTCTATTACTATATAAGAACTATTCAATTATAACTTCTTTATGGTGGATAAGCTACATGAATAACGATGAATATGTGTGTCATCAAATCCTAAATTAAGTTATCTGTAAAATTTGTACAAATCCAGCACAGAGTTCAAAACTAGTTTACAGCTCAAAAATGGAACTTTTGCACTATATAAAAATAGATATTCGAAAAATTCTGTAATTATTCATATTGTGAGTGACTTTTGTGTTTTTCCCTTCAAGAATTGAATCTGACTTCGAAGCAATCCCTCAACACAAAAAAATGATCGAGAAAAGGTTCAGTAAAGAAAATTAGTTGATTACTATTCTAAAATTCCATTGAATATTTTATAAAGTTTATTTTTCAACATAATCGATGGTCTGTAATATGTGTCAGCGAAGAATGAGGACGATAGTCTTATACTTGGTCTGTTCATCAACGATTTACCTGCGAAATTATACTTGCGACGACGTCAGAAATCGACAATCATAAATTGATTACAACTGGTATTCTGTCATCTAAAGTCTTTTTAGAAAATGTCTATGTTTGCAAACCCGAAGCAAAACTGCAGTAATATAAAAACACCCTGGTAATCATAATCTTTCTGTCAGAGTACAGTGGCATGACGAAATGGTTTACTGGCTTCTTACCTACCAGGTTTACAGATGGATATAACCAAAGTGATGTTTTATCTATTACAAAAGGCAAACAGACGAAATATTTTTTGCTTATCACAAGATAAACAAGGCGCTGTAAGACGTATGCATCTAAATTAGTTTGAATAAATAACTTGACTAATAAAATTCAGCTTTTACTGACTACATAAAATCATTGGAAAGTTGAAGGAAGATATCGCTATTCTATATTGAATAGTATCTTTTTATGCAAAAACTATCATATGAATGTTATTAGCTCACTGATTCCGTAAACAAGCATTACAATTTCTAACTGGGGAGTTCTACTAGATTAGTCTGAAACATAGCGGTTTAAAATAGGCTGTTTCATTTTGTTACTACTTGCAGAAAAAAAGTCCTTCATTGTGTATATTAACATGTTTGTTGGTGAGAGTTGGTATATTGTTGCTCGTATTCGTTTCATTTGATTTTAGGTAAGGCTACTTGTTCGTATCTATACTTGAGTAAAATGCTTTTTCCTATGTGCGTTATTTCTTATCAGTGACAGCAGTAAACAACACTTAAAGAAAAAAAGCTGAGAAAGAAATCCTTTTGAGCTTCGCACTAATTCAAAAAATAACGTTGCAATTGTTTTGTCGTGCTTGATTCTCAACTAAATATACGGCGCTTCTTTTTTTCAGGTTTATGTATTTGAGTCAAGCAAATATAGTAGATGATGACAATGAATTATTTCGTGTTGAGATAGAACCAAATTTTTTGTCGTAGAACGCGCTTATTCGAGAAGAGCACATGTCCGTATCAGATTCGCTTTCAGCATTCGCTTGTAACTCATCGTCAAAAGAATTACTGTCGTAGTAACTATGGTCGGTATGATTCTTCAAACTTAATTTAAGTACGGAGAATTTTGCTTACTTCATTCAAAGTATTCAGGCATGGTTTTTTTTCAAAACTCTGCTAATCTATTGTTTGGTGAGTGCGTGAAATGCATTTCGAAAAGCACGAAAAATAGAAATTCGATAGAATAATGCATCGGAGACATAGATTCTGCTTTGGAAGCTCGATCTACTCAGATAATAGCTCTTCAACCTTATTTATGGCGCTTCGAAAGTAACGAAGAACATACCGATGGATCAGTTTCACCTTGACTTCCGATTTCATGCAGAATTGATAATTTGTTGGTGCGTTCGAACAATATCTGAACAGTAATTCTGACAACTGATGCCAAGATTCATGACATTGACCTCGCTAAATGAAATATATTTTTGCCCATTTGTGGATTAAAGCTCTACATTAAGATAGCAAATCTGCCTAAATTATCATCTCTAGCAAAACCCTTGATGTTTTAGTTTCAGATCTTTAACGAATTCAATAAGGATCCTCTCAGAATTCGCTGTTTTTTCTTGAGACAATGATTCTGTATTGAAAGAAGCGTGTAGGCACAAGAAATTTCAAGATCCTGACACGATTCGAAACAGGATTCAATTAGGATTCTGATCAATTTATCACTTTTTTTTGAACTAGCAACCGTTCAGTAAGTCGTCGAAACCTGAAAAAAACATATAGCTAGGACACATTGAAGATTTTAATACGATAGATGTGGATATGTGTTGTGAATGTTGGTTTATGTTACGTTAACAAATATTTACAGTCACACTTATACAGGATGTCCTAAAAGTAAGGAAACAGGAAAAAAATTGAATATCTCCATTATGGCTAGAGTAACTGCGCTGATGTTTTTGTCAATGATGGAGGCATATTTAAGCTTTATATCCATAAAGACATGCCTAGAGAAGCCCTTTGTTAAGTATCACTTAGTGATCTCAACAAAAAAATACTTTTTCGCACATAGGGAAAAAACAATATACTTAACAAAGCAGCTCTCTCGGCATGTCTTTATGAATATAAAGCTTGAACATGCCGTTATCATTGGTAAAAAAATCAGCTCGTTTGCTCGAACTGTAGTGGGTATGTTTAATTTTTTTTTCGACAAAGTGACTTTTGCGCTATTCTGTATATTGTTTTTTTCCTATCGGTGAAAAAGTAAAATTTTCTTGTTCAGATCACTAGGTGATACTTAACAAAGGCTCTCTCTAGGAGCCATTGCACGAAAGAAACTGCCAAAATACGGACCCCGTGCTCAATTGATCTCACGGATTTCAATGAAATTTTGCATATATGTGGACCCAAGTGAGATATGAAAAAGTCTAAAATTTCAGCATCTAAAACTGTTACCTTCCTGAGATGTTGAAATCACAATGGAGGAATCCTCAGCTAAAAAATGACGATAACCAATGCAGTACCCACTCAGTATATATTTCACCATTTTTCAACCATGATGTTTTTTGGCGTGAAACTTTGAGGATATATACTACCCTTAGTATCCTACAGATTGACGCAATCGAAACCATTTTTCCACTCGTTAGGTGGTATAGTGGTATTTCATAGGTTCTAGATATACGCTCTACATTGTGATTAAGATTTCTATCGCTTATGAGCGAGTTATGAGCTGCCGCTTTGGAACTAGGTACTACTGCCCTCGAGCTATTAGCAACTTACCGAAGAATGCTATCGTCAAAACAGCAGTTTTGCTGATTTTTTGTGAGATTCATATCTCACCAAAAAAAAAACATCCGTTTCACTTGAAATTTTTACTGGGTATATATATCAAGCTGATGTACTTATCATAAAAAAATGAGTTCAAACGAATGTACTACTGATGAGTTGATGAGTACTACCGAATACACGACAAACTGGTCGTTTAGCTGTGTTTTGTGCATATATATATCTCATAAATGGATCATGTTAGAGAGCTGAAATTTTAGACTTTTTCAT